CCCGCTAAATGTTCATACGTCATTATTGTGCGACCGACGCGCGGTTTTGCTTTATGGTGCATCATGGGTATTGTAGTTTCTTACGTGTTTTTTTTGTTTGTTTTTTTTGCTGAAGTTGAATCCAAACATACTTAAAAATGTTCATCACAGATGTCATCCAGACCTAAAATTGCAGTATAGCTGTTGACTAAACGAGAACCATAACCATTTTGTAACCATTTTATATATATATATATATATAAGATTGAGTAGAGCCAGGGCCAGCGCGTGCATATAGGCGAACTAGGCAGAGATTGTAGTTTATCTTTTGGGCATTCTTTGGAATTATTGCACTCATATCAACAAGTCATCACCCCTTACTTGTTCTAACTTTAAATTAACTTAGCTTCATACAAAGTAATGCCGCTCCCGCGCTGTGCCCCACCTGAGCGGCGTGTACCCCACATGTCCACATGTAGCCTACTTCCATAAATGTCATCAAAATGAATAAAACTATCCGGACATGAATGGCTTTTGCTACTGGTGATGTCTGATGAGTTTTAAAGCCCGACATGCGCTTCTGAAAGGTAAGATTATAGCCGACTGTGAGAGAAAGCGTGGGGGAGACACAGGTGGAACAAGTGTATAGTGTAATCGGTGCCCAGTTGTGTTTGATCAGGGTTTTAGCTGATCTTTGCAGGAAGGTAGATCTCCAGGAACAGGGTTGGGCACCCCTGGTGTATTCTATTAGATAGGCATGTTCATCCACGTTCATCCAAACACATACATACACATACATCCACGTGCATCCAAAAAAAAAACTGTGATTTGTTTTTTTAGAACGGTAGCCTAGATATTTAGCCTTTATCATTTATAACGCTACGAACAGTGTTTCATTTGTAAATTGCGAGGTCCCGGAATAAAGCGGGGAGACGGATCCGGCAAGTGATCAGAGGATGGAGAGGTAATGGAGCATTCGCGCAATCATTTAGTGGACCCACTTAAGTGATTACCAGCTTGCATCAGTTGCTTTTATAGTATGCACATATACTCTAAAAATCATGGTTATTTTATTGCAAAATTTTTTCGTGTTTGGGTAGTTTTTGCGTAACCCAGCTCCTGGGACAGGAGAGTTGCAACAACCCAGTGTTTGTAATGAGTGCAGATATTTTGCATTCTTTTCAGGCGAGTAGTTCTCAGTGCCGCCGACTTGCATTCGAAACAAGCTGCAGCAGTCTTTTTGCAAGATTACAATTTTCATTTTTACTTCGAAAATGCTTGTTAAACGAGTTTAAATGTAAGTAATGTTGTATACATCTTTAAACTGTAAAATATGTTGTATTAAGAACTGTATTTAACTAAAAGGCATTTAGAGAAAGAAAGAAAGAAAGAAAGAAAGAAAGAAAAATGTCAAAATAAATGAAAAACGAAAACGAAATGAAACCAACAGCAGCTATTGAACACCTAAATAATAATAATAATCAAAAATAAATAATCGTTTTCTACTCAATCTCAGCATGCTTTAATTTTGTGTCGCTAGAGGTTTGCGTCAATAAACTTAAATTAAAATGTCTTTGGTCTGCGCTCTGGAAGTGTTCTGTTAATTCTGCTAAACTTTAATTACTAAAACTAAAATTAAAACTCCCAGCTCCTGGGACAGGAGAGTCGCAACAACCCAGTGCTTGTAATGAGCGCAGATATTTTGCATTCTCTTCAGGCGAGTAGTTCTCAGTGCCGCCGACTTGCATTTCTTTGGTCAAATATAGGTTTGTGTATGTTTTATTTAATCATGAATGGGCAACTATTTCCTAGTGTATTGGGTGGTCATGCTACACTTGGTGTTTTATTAACTTACATTCTTAACCATGCAAATATGGAGAGCGGGAATACAAGTATGTGCACCAAAATTATTTTGCACTGCATTCATACAAGTTCAAGTCCAGTGAACTTTGACCTGAGAATTTGAATAGCAAAAGGATCTAAACATCACAGATTCTCCTTTTGGCCTCAACACAAAGAACACAAACTTCTGCTAGGGTTGCTAAACAAACTGCATATCAATGAGAGAGAAGAACTTTGCAACTGATACCATGGCAATTAGTTCCACTGGAACCCATTAGAAAGCTAGAAATTTGATGTTTGGCTGTGGGGGTTTATCTATAGCTGGTTCCCACAACAACTATTAGGTTGTCATTCCCACAAGGAATCAATTTCCTTTGAAAAAAATATTTTGGTACCCACAGATCCAAATAGTTGATTATATCATAAAGAGCAAGCTGGAGATGAAGGCTGAAGATCAATTGTCACAGTAATGAAATTGAGAAAGAAATAATGGGATTGAAGAATAAACAGATTTCTTAAAGAAACAAAAGGGATTGAGGAATTACATCACACACTCTAAAAAATGCTGACCCACTGGGTCAAAACAGCCCAATTGCTGGGTTTGTCCCTATTTTACCCAGCACTGGGTTCTATTTAACCCAGCATTTTTTAGAGTGTAAAGTTAAAACTTAAAGTAATCTGTATAAAATCTAAATAGGCTATAAATATGTTCACAAAATAAAAACTAAACTAAAATTAACCAAATTATTAATGAAACTAATAAAAAAAAATGGAAGCGATA